AAAATGCAAAATTTGTACTTGCAAAAATTATTTGCGTGTGCTTAGAATAGAGGCACAAAAATAATGCCATAGACAGGGGCTTCCATTCCAGTCAAATATTTGCTTGAACAATGCTCTCCTAGTGGATGCCAATTGTAACATCACAATCTCAAGGTATACTGGAGTAGACGACTCCCAAAATCATCGTGTATGAAAAAGAGTCTGAAGACAAATGAAATGTGAACATGTGAACAGCATAAAACAAAGTGCAGCAGAACACAGAAAGATGCGTGATACTCGTCATCTCCAGCTGGCGTTGGGGGTTTTGCTCAGCCACCTAACATAATGAAAGCTTAGCTGTGTTCAACTTCCTTCATACACCTCAGGAAAAAAAGAAGGTAAACAGACTTGTTTTTATATCTCACTTTTAATTTGACACACAAAGCACTTTATACACCTAACCTCATTCATACCCATTAATAAAAGCACTTTTGTTTTGACATTATATTTAGCTTCCACTAAAGTATTGAAAGCGATGAAGATATAGCATTTGATCCAACTTTACCTCGTGCAGAGGGACGTTGCATGGCAGGAGAAAAACATCAAGGTTTTGTGTCTGTGCTCCCATCGGTGTTGCTCTGACAAACAGTAAAACTTGGCCCTTAACTGGATTCTTTATGGTCAAAAACCTCTTTACGAAATCCCAGATAAGCCCAAAGGCAGAGAGGTGGGAGACTTCTACAATCACATGAGTATCTGTGATCTTCAGTGGCTGTAGGACGCTAAATCCATCATCGGAGAAGTTGATGACAGACAGCGAGTCATCAGAGAGCACAGCTGTGAAAACAGAGACAGTTTTTGTCACTTGCTCCAATCCAATTCTGAGGAAATGGCTAAGCACAACTGTCTATAATTTGAACAATAATTGGCTGTATGTGTTGCTAGGTTAGATTTTTTTCTCAGTTGGATAATTTTATTCAACAAAAAATACAAACCCAGATCTCCAGTACGGAGCCCCGCAAGGGACACTGGAGGTAAAATAAATGAAGATGAACTCGCAAAGGTTTTGCCCCTTGCGGGGTTCCATACTCTAGAGCTACAAAACATCTCAAATGCTTAGACATTTTACTGTTTCATGAAAAAGATTGGCTCATTTTCAATTTGATGGCAACGGCACATGTCAAAAGGTTTGGAAAAGTATGCGGTTCTTAAAAAGAAACAGCTTTTAATCGTGGATCAATTTCAGAATAAGCACTGCTGTAACAGTGTTTTGTTGTTTTTCTGTTCCCAAGTCTGCAACCATGACCTTTGAAAATAAAAGCTCTTCAGAGTGGAACTTTGCAGTACAGTAATTTGTTTACCTTCATCTGTTTCACAGTGTGGGAAGTGGAGTTGACGAATTGCATCCTCATAGCTCTTTATCTCAAACAGTGGTCCTGCTGCTGTCTTTCTAGTTGATTGGAGGATACTCTGATCCCACTGGATAATCCTGTACAGAACTTCCACCTCCTGAGTCATGTCAAACACCAGTCCAGTCAGAGAACACTGGAAGAGACCCGAACCAGGACACTTGAATCTGTGGGGAAAAAGAAATGAAGAAAGAAGAGGGAAATAGATGCATGGAAGTAAAATAAAGTCCACACTGTAGCACACAGTCAGTAGATGTTTTATCTACTGTTGCTGCACTGGCTATTTGAATAAATCAATGCAACTTTAGAGGTTTAGACATTTCTAGATATTAGTGCTGGGCAGCATTTACATTTTCAAATAGTGATTAATCTCATGATTCTTTGTGATTAACTGCATTGTCAAAGCAACATTCAATAATGAATTCAAAAGTAGTATATTATGAACTTATTATACCGTATTTTCTGGAATATAATGTGAACTTGAAATGCTTACATTTTCACAAAAATCGACAGTGCAGCTTGTAATCCGGTGCGCCTTATGTATGAATTCTGGTTGTGCTTACTGACCTCGAA